CGGAGGTCTGCTAGCGTCTGCTAGCCTTGAGTCCGCCGCAGACCTCACCCGTCCCCATCTTGCCTCCCATCTTGCCCTCTTCCGCAGCATGAGGGTATGACCACCCTGGCCGGCTCTCTATCCCCGTGGTATGAACGTCATATCGCAAGTAGGGCTTTCTCTTACTCGCTCCAACTACTTGCCTCCGGCAGATTTACCCGTATCTCTCTCCCCTGCTCTTCGCCCCTTCCTCTGCTCTCCCCCCCCCCTCCCCCCTCTCCCACGCACGCAGCTGCTGGCCAGCACCATTACGCCCCTGCGGTCGGAACACTACGAGCAACACTGCCCGGCTGAGCACTCTTCATAAGTTAGCAGCAGAAATTCTCATCACTGGCCAGAGGGCGGAAACGTTAGCCTGGCAAAGGAGGAGGCTAACACACTACGCCCTTCCAGGGCCCCGCGCAGTGCAACCGCTTCCCTTGCCCCACCCTGTTTGCAGGCAGCCGAGATCCGTCCATGCCGCAACTAACTCGACCGCACACTGGATGAAGAATGGTAGAGCGGCGCGCCCGGAGGTCGGACAGTGTTGAGCGCTGCGCAAAGAGATCGGACACTGTTCGTTGGGCGCGTCACCACGTCGCCTGGCCCTGTACTCACTAAAATTCCATGAAAAAATTCCTTTATGATGCCGCGTATTAAACAAGCAGAACTCTGGTAACAACGCCATAGGATAACAGATTTTTCATGGGCAATCAAGTGGACACAAAACAGACGGAAACAGCTATTTTCTATTCTCGAAATTAGGGCATATGACATAGCATAGTTTTTTCCTCTGAAAGTTGGACCCGCCACTTTCTGCTTGCCTCATTAGCAGATGATACTTCAAAACACCCAGAAAAAAACGTAAATATTAGTAGATAATTGTATTAAGGCGTGAACTAGCTTTAACTCTTGATATTAGGTATTAAAGGTTAAGAGAAACCGAGGCTGCAAAGGCTGACGGAGTTCACCCATTCCTCTCTTCCCTTCTAGGGAAGGAGGAAGGACGAAGAGAGAGTAGGGAGGGACGGACGGACAGGGAATCATTTGGAAGCGAGGAAGAGCCGTCAATAATTTATTTTCCGCGTTTAAACTTTTGCACGGGCGGCTGCCTCATACCGGCTTACGCTTTGAATAGACCGCGCTGCCGGAAAAGGGAAAGGGGTGGAAGGGTGATGGGAAGAAAGAGGTTGGGAGTGGCACGGCGGGGAGGGGGCAAAGGGGAGAGGGGG